ACTATAGCCCGCCAGGTTCCTCTGTCCGTGGGATTTCCCAGGCAAGAATACTGGAGTGGGTTGCCATTTCCTTCTCCAGGGAATCTTCCCAACCCAGGGATCACAATGAGTTAATATTTATAAAGCACTAGAACAGAGCCTGGGTTGTAGTAAGAATGTTATTATCCAAATTTCTTCTAATATTTGAAGACCAGATAAGATCCTACCTCTTATGCAAAACCCTTCTCTGACTAATCTTGCCGAGCCCACAGTGATCTCTTACTCCTTTGAATATTATAACAACAAGGTGACTTCATGTTCTATGGAGGTGGCTTTCTTACCCAGACCTCACGACTCCATCATCTTGATCATCTCCCTCTCTTAGTTTTGGTTTCCCAGGTGGCTCAGTAGTAAAAATAAACAAATAATAATACGCCTGCCAGTGCAGGAGACATAGGAAATGTGGGTTTGATCTCTGGGTTTGGAAGATCCCCTGCAGAAGGAAATGGTAACCCACTCCAGTATTCTTGCCAGGATAATCCCATGAACAGAGGAGCCTGGTGGGCTATAGTCTATGGGGTTGCAAAGAGTCAGACATGAATAAGCACACAACACTCACTCACACTCTTGGTTTTGGCATGACATGTCAGAGCTCATTTTTTTTCTTCCTCCTCGGTTCTCAGAGCTAGAGAAAGATAAATAAGAATCTCCACCCTGCTTTATCTTTTGTAAACTGGAATGTGACTGGAATGTGAGAGCTGGAGGAAAGTGGAACATTCACAAGAACACATTTTCTGCTGATTACCTCCTTTTAAAAAAGAGGCTCATCTCTGTCTCCCAAAGGAGTAGAAATAACTCAGACCTTAGATTTGTGGAGTTTTTGATCCAGTGACCTCACCCACTGTACTTCTCATATCACTTAGTATTTCCCAGTTGTCATTCACTTATCACTCCCTACCTTTCCGGTGCTACCTATGTGTACTTTCTCACGTAATACACTCCATTCTAGGCCTGCTGGACTATGCATGGCCTCGCAGGTGTTTGGATATTTCTTTGTGCTATCATTGCCATGTCTAGAGATGCAACAGAAGGAGTGGTTAAAACCTTAGATGGTCTAGATTAAAATTCTGTCTCCACCACTAATCAGTTTGGTATCCTGGTCAAACCACCTGTAAAGTAATAGCACCTGCCTCAGTAAGTTGAGAGGTGTGTGTGTGTGTATGTATGTGTGTGCTTGGTCATGTCTGGCTCTTTGCAACCTCATGGACTATAGCCCGCCAGGTTCCTCTGTCCGTGGGATTTCCCAGGCAAGAATACTGGAGTGGGTTGCCATTTCCTTCTCCAGGGAATCTTCCCAACCCAGGGATCACAATGAGTTAATATTTATAAAGCACTAGAACAGAGCCTGGGTTGTAGTAAGAATGTTATTATCCAAATTTCTTCTAATATTTGAAGACCAGATAAGATCCTACCTCTTATGCAAAACCCTTCTCTGACTAATCTTGCCGAGCCCACAGTGATCTCTTACTCCTTTGAATATTATAACATGTGATATTTAATTTACTGAAACAGCACCTTAATACAGCTGCAGAATAAAAAGGAAGGAAGGGAAAGGAAGGAAGGAAGGAAGAAGGACAACATCTGAGTTCAAATCTTGACATTGTAAATTACTGTGGGACTCTGAGGGAGTTACTTGAGTCTTGGTTTTTCCATCTGTGAAATGGCTATTTAATACCTTAACAGGGTTATTATGAGGGTTAAGTATGATAATGCTTGAGAAGTATCTCATACACATCTTGACTCATGGTAGACCCTCAATAAATACATATGCTCTTTTTAAAAATATTATTTAGAATTTTGTTTCCCAGATTATAAAAGTAGAATTGTAGAAAATTTAGGTAATATAGCAGGGTATAGAGAGGAAAGTTGAAATAACCTTATAAACTTCTTTCTGGAGACAACAATTTCCCTAGCCAGTAACTCCTACCTTGGAAACTAAAACACAGGTGGGTATATTTCCTTTGGTCTTTTTCTGTGAGTGTGTGCTGACACACATATGTTAAAAAGGGAACAATTCCATTATATACCAGTTTTATTGTCTGCTTTACTTTACATAGACAATTCTCCAACTTATTTAGTATTCTTCAGTCATGGTTTTCCTGAGTCATATCATATTCTGTATACATCTATACTTATTTAACCAAAACTGTATCACTGGATGTGGAGGTTATATTGGGGTTTTAACTAAAGAATGCTGCATTATATACCTTTGCATATGAATTTTTGTCACTATCTTTGATTACTTTGTTATGAGAAATGCTTAAGAATAGAAATATTGGATCCAGGAAAACACATCAGAGGATCCTGGTGCCTACTGCCAACTTTTGCCTCTTCTAGAATATGTATACATTACATTCTTACCAAAAGTGACCAAGGGTGTCCATCACATCTCACCTTTGCCAAACTTTAACTTTTTGTCTGTTTCATCTGTTTACTTTAACCCGATTATAATCTCCCTGAGCAGGCCATGCTGCTTCTTTGTATTTACCACAGAACATTGCCTGGTGTCCTTCAGATAGTAGCCCTCATGAGTATTTGCCAAATGACTGAATTTCTATTCACAACTATTCCTCTGTGGTTAAAGAGCCAGAGAAGGTACTGGAACAATCACTTTCAGATTGGTCAAATTGAGAGAGGTTTATATACTTGCCCTTGGTCTCCCACTGAGAGGAGTAGAAAAGTATGAAATCACAGGTAATTGGCTCATGATCGGGGGCTGAGAGGGGACACGAGGTATTTTTCAGGGTCAGCTCTGCAGCATGTTTGAAGCTGGCTTTCTGTGCTGCTCTCCATTCTTCCCTCACAACTGGGTGTGGAGAGGGGCGGGGTCTGCTTTTACAGCTTTGCTGTGTGGCAGAATGAGGGGAATTTTCCAGATAGTTCCTCTTGATGGCTGTTGGCACAGTTGCAGCTTTGCCTCTGGGAGCCATCAGGCTGTGGCTCCGAAAGCCTGGACAGCTGTTTCAGCAGGTCAGATTGTGAGAGCCCTGTGTTTTTGTTGGCATGGAGAGCCATGTAGGATTTCAAACCATGAATTGCCTTAAAATTTTCCCTGTCCTAGCTCCCTACTAAGTGCTTTGAGTAGTGGGGCTAAAGTGAGGAAAACAGTTATTGTCTCTTTTCCCTTCCAGTCTTCCCCTCATCAACACACACCCCAAATATAGTGACCCAGATGATTTCCTGGCACTTTTCTGAATGCCAGAGTTTCTGAGGCCATCTTCTGGGAATAATGCGTTCCTTTAGAGATTTTTTTGAACGTACAAATCCACTGTGAAGAAGAATGATACCTCCTCTCCTAGCCCCAGAGCCCTCTCTGCTGGCATAGTTCTCTTTTTAGGTAAAGAGGCTTAGAGTGTGAAAGCTTGCTACGGATTTGGGGACATCTAAGCCCATAGCATCTCTGTGCTAGTTTCACCTCCCTGTTTGCAAACTGAACGTGTTTTACAGTGCCCAGTGAACAGTTGCCCCCAGAGGCAAGTGATATAAACCAAAAGGGTAAATCCAGGCTGATACCATTCTCATGGAGTTTGCTTTCCTGGGAAGGGCCAGTGTGCTTCTGTATTCCCTGTAGCTCTCAGTGGTCTCCTTAGAGCAAGTATCTTTAAACTACAGGTTGGAAGACTTCTCTTAAAATTAAGAATTGTTACTGTGCTAGGTGTAGTGGACTAGCAGGCCAACTCCTAGTGTGTAGAGGTTGGAAAATAAAATATAAAGCTTTATTTCCTGGACTCCCTTGCAGTTTGGGTTTTGAGGGGATTGAAGTTCTGCTAATTAGATCCATTTCTTTTGAGACTTGGATGTAGGAACCAAGTCACGTGTGGGAAGAGCCATATGTGGTAGTGTGGAGCCATGGTTGTGTGGTTCTGGAGCTGCTAGCTTTAGCAACAGCGTCCCAACTCAGCAGGCAGCTTCCTGAGCTAAGCAGCTCCCTTGGTGGCCCCGATCTATGGCATGGATTTGGGAATCACTCCTGGCGTCAGTTCCTTAGCTAGCCAACTCGCCCCCTCCATTTAATGTTTGTAGTAAACCCCTCTTTGTAAACCTGCTGACATAACTCTGTAGCTGCAAAGCTATCCATTGTCTTATCTTGTTCATTTATTGGCTGAGACAAAATAAAATGTTGGAATTTGACCTTTGACCTTGATTTTATTACAGATGTCCTTTCACCAAAGATACTTTTGGATTATTCTATTCCCTTTTACATGCTTTTCCTGGTGATAGTGGATGACCTTATGTTGAACTTTTCCCCAGAATTATGTTGATTGAACTGTTTAATTGGTACAATTTCTTGTGCCAATTCATACCTCATCTTCCCATAAAGAGTATTATATTATTAATAAGTATAGCTATTTAATAATAGCTATGGAATGCATATCTGCTGAAGCTTGTAACAGACACAGAAAGGACTGGGAGAAACACTTTGCTGTTTATCAAGACATAAGCACTGGCATTTCAATTTCAACAAAACAGCACTACCTTATTATATAAATCATGGTTACGTTAATTCTTGACATCACAATACAATCATGGCATCTCGTGACAACTCAAAAAATGTTAATGTGATATTGTTCCTGAGGTATCACACTAGTCTCTGATTTTAATTAGTTGTCTTATGGACTTATTTTTACCCTAGTTTGCTGAAACGTTGCTATGAAAAATGGACTAAAGATATTTCAGGCATACAGGGCGCTGGTTGGAAAGGCACTGATTTAACTGGGCAGGACTATGCTCAGAAATGAGAAAGTTGGAATATATTCCTGAAGGGTGTTCTTTTAATCCTTGAAGGTTTTGTCCTTCAGCTAGACACAGCTATAGGGCAGGTCAATTTGAGAAGTTAGACTGCAAGCCTGAGTGGAGAATGCTATCTCATCTTGCAGGTTCTGTGGAAAGAGCTCTGCCTTATGCTAGATGCTCAAGGACATGTAGGAAAAAGCATTTCTGAAGAAGGAATAAGCATTCTGTCTGCAATTCAGAGCTAAAAAAGGAATTTGTTTATTGAGAGCAAGAGGATGCAAGCAATATAAAAATCAAAAGCTTATTTGGCTTTAATTGACTTTTCTTTCTCTGCTTCTCAAAATGGAGTTGGATTTTATTTGTACATTTTCTATGGGTCCCATCTGCTCAGAAATCCTTACAGGGGAAGCTGTGGGGCAGATTCCTTAAGTGACCCTTTATAAGAATTCTTATCAGGGTGGGAGTAATTGCTCAATGCTGCCTACTTCTTCCCCTTCTGCTTCATGTGTACTACAAAATAGTCATTGCACGCGATGGTGAGCCCAGCGATTAGCGAAAAGAAGCTCTGGAAGCCCACTTTGCCATCTCGACACTGGTCCAGGTCCTTCATTATTTTGTCCACGGCCAGAGGGTCTTTTTGATTCTGAAAAAAAGAACAGAAGCAAGAACCCTCAGTCAGTGGTGGCAGTGACGAGCTTCTTTGTTCTGCTGACTACTCTATGTATAATCTCACTATTTGAATTCTTCCTTTAGATCACAGTGGTATTTGGAGGTCTTCTAAATGTACTTCTCTGCTTTGAGAAAGCATTTCAGTAAATTCATATTTATTGCAGACTAGGAAAGAGGTTTCCATGGCATTCTTCTGTGTAACTCAGGGACTAGAAACAGTCTATTTCTAGAAAGAGGAGAAAGAGGAGATACAGTGCTAGAGAAGGGAGATCCACGACTCTGAGTTCTCAGTCTACTTAAAATCTGACCTGCTTTACTCACAGTCCAACTGTTACCACGATTTTTTTTTCCTTTTAATGTTTTTTAATTGGAGGATAACTGCTTTTCAATATTGTGTTGGCCTCTGCCACACAAATTATTTTGAAGGTATGGACCATGGAGTTAGGTGTTAGTTGCTTAGTTGTGTTCAGCTCTTCCCAGCGCCATGGACTGCAGCCCGCCAGGCTTCTCTGTCCATGGAATACTCCAGGCAAGAATACTGGGGTGGGTAGCCATTCTCTTCTCCAGGGGATCTCCCTGACCCAGGTATTGAACCTGGGTCTCCTGCATTGCAGGCAGACTCTTAACCATCTGAGCCATCAGGGAAGTCTGTTACCACAATTTTTAAATTTATATTCTCTTAACAAATTTTCATTCCTTATAGCATGGTCAAGTCCTTAAAAAAGAAACTCCTATGAAAGACCTCATGAGATTACTTAGGGAGTAAATTTCAGATCTTTGTCCTATGGATTTCGAAGCAATGCTAATGATACCCTGGGATGGGTTAGATTTAAAGAGGACAGGCAGTTGGTCCTCTTTTGCTGGCACAGCTGAGGCCAACCTAGTGTGACTTAATATCATATTAGCCAGCTGAGTAAGTGACTTCACACACCTTGGTGGACCTTCAGGTAACAGCTAAGAATTGAGGCTGGACTTGCTGCAGAGTGTCTCTAAAATCACTTCTGTTCTTAATGAGTTGGCCAATCCATGTCATCCTATACTCTTTGCTGAATGTTCTACACTGGATATGTTTCAAAAGTAGTACATGTGACGGAGTCATAAAACTCCCCACAACTCTCAATGCCTTAGCACAAATGCATGGAACTGGAATGAACAGGTAAGATCCCCTTTGTTTTTCCTTTTCCCTTGCTTTCATGGGTGACTGGTTTAATCACTCCTTTTCATTGTGTTGATGCTTAGAAGTGGGAAAGTGTAGTTTCTCCTGTAGGGTCCATGCCATCAACCAGAAGTAAATATGGCCATTTACAGGTGTTAAAGGGTTCAGTGGGACTTTCCTGGTGGTCCAGTGGTTAAGACTCTCTGCTTCCAATGCAGAAGGGCAGGTTTGATCCCTATTTAGGGAAATAAGTTCCCACATGCTGTGTGGTACAACCGAAAAGAAAAAAAAAACAACAACAAACCAATCACGTTAAGGACTCAGGTAAAGCATTTATGAATCCTGTTGACTGCATACTTGAGTAAGGGAACTGACACACACTGTCTCAAGTGTGCTGGATGTTTATATAAACTGTGCTCAGAAAGCCTTTAAGGTAAGCAGCATGCCCTAAGCAGACAACTAGAACCTGTCTATGCAGCTACCTCCCTCTTTTGGTGGGTTTCAGTTAATTCTGGCCTCAACCCCAGCTTCCTGGCTGTGGTCACAAGCAGTGCAATTTGGATGACATAAGGGATCAGATTTAGAAACAAAACGCTGTCAATGTAGCCACTGTGGGTGTGCCTGGAATAATGACCCCATGCTTAGAATAAATTGTACTGCCATGTTCAGAACTGTGTTGAACACTTTATGTTTATCAAACCACAAAGCCTTTAGGAAGGGTCTTTGTCTCAGGTGATAGTCATCCTGGCTTCTAACTTATGTAACAACACAATTAACGAGTGTTTAGAAGTAGACTGAGAGCTTCTTTGTGTGATGGACAGGTTTACAATGAGCACATTTTGTCCTTGAATTTTATGCTTGCCTAGAAGGATCACAGAAAGTGAAAGTGGTCTTGGAGATAATCATGTCTAGCCTCTCATTTTATAGAGGGCCTGAGTTGAGGCACAGAAAGCTGAAGCAACCTTCCCAGTGTTAATTAGGGTCCTGGTCTGGGTTTGTATCACAGAACTGTAAGAAAGCAGAGCAACAGTGTCCTCTAACTCATTCTAGGATAGCACTGTGATAAGTGCAGCTCTAAGATACAAGTTAAATGATTTCTATCTGTTTGTTTGACTGATATTGATAACCCTATAAATCATCATGTACTATAAAACCTTATGTTTACTGGGTCAGGAGTCAGGGGCTTAACTACTGCTGTTTACTATGCAGATGACAAGAGGCAGGACTCTGCCTTTTACCATCTCCTCCCCAGTGGTTCAGATGGTAAAGAATCTGCCTGCAATACAGGAGTCACAGGTTCAATCCCTGGGTCAGGAAGATCCTGAAGATCCCTCCAGGAGAAGTTCGTCCCCTGGAGACAGGCATGGCAACCACTCCAGTGTTCTTGCCTGGAGAATTCCATGGACAGAGGAGCCTGGTAGGCTACAGTCCACGAGGTCACAAAGGGTTGGACACAGTTGAGTGACTAACACTTTCACTTTCCCTTCACCCTTTAGAGGCTAATGCAATGTTCCACACCACGAACAGTACTGATCCCTTTAAGTGACTCTGGTTGCAGCAGGCAGAAAAGGGTTTGCATTTCAGTCTAGTAGCGCAGGCATAAACTCAAACTGTGCTCCTGTGTTCTCATAGCATCATCAATGTGAAAAGCAGATTTTTCTGGAACGATGCTTGGCTCTCATTCAGCAGACACTTGACACTATTCGTTTAGAGTAGTGTTGGAAAAAAGTTTCAAAGTCTTTATCTAAAGGGATTTAATTTAAGAAGGGACATAAGTGGATGTGACCAGGACGGAGCACCTCCAATGCCAGGTTTATGGACCTGAGGGCAACAAGGCAACCTGGATGATTACTCTGGTGAAAGACCTTCTTTCCCGCAACTGTCTCAATGGACACAGTGACTCCAGATGGAATCCTTCAGTACCTCGTACTGTGGTGATTTGTGTGTAGTCTCACTTCATTTCCAAACTGTAAGTTCCTTAAAAGCAGGGGCTCTGTCTTCTTTACTGTCTGTTTCCTCCCATAGTATCTTACAAACAGGAGGCACTCAATAACGTTTAATAACTAAATGAATGAAAACACCTTCCTAGTAGTGACTTCCACAGGGAAGGGCTAGAAGGAGGAAGGGAAAGGAAACAGGGCCCACAAGCATTACGAATGATTCTTTCTGAGCCTTTCAACACTTACTTCCAAAAATCCAGGGAACTCCTTTTCCATGAGTACTCTCAGGTCTTCCTTTGTTAAGTAACCTTTATCACCAGCAAATTTGTGAAATGTGAACATCATGGTTTCCATGGCGTGTTCCATTTGAGATGGCATTTTGGTGAAGTCTGTTGAAACCTATTAAAGGATGTAAAGAAACAATCTACATTAACTTTATAAAAATTTTATTCATTTATTTATTTGGTTGTATTGGGTCTCAGCTGCCGCAGGCAGGCTCTAGAACACACACGGTGTGTAGACCCACAGGGTGTAGTTGCCCCAAGGCTACATTAAGTGACAGGAATTACCAGTCTTTTGAAAATGACTGGAAGAACTCATCCATTCAGTCCTTTTCCAATTTACCCCAAGTCTGGGGCCTTCCTCCTGCTGATGGAAACAGGCACTTCAGGTACTGGTGCTCTGAATGAGGGATTTTATCGAGTTGCCTGCTAAATTTGCATAATGAAGAATAAAAACTCTGATCATCTGGAAAAGCAAGATCAGTGCCCCTTTGTTTAACTAACAAAGCACCTACTGAGAGGACAGATGTTTCACCACTTCTCTTGGTGGCGGCGGTGGTGGGCACTAGTAAATGGGACTCTTCCATGTGGATATGGCTGAATACCAACACCCACAGTCAAGCCTGATTAATAAAAGAACTTCAACCCTCCAAGCTTCATTAGGTAACCTTGTTTGGTCTCATTCTAAGGTTTAGAAATCTGCTTAAAAATGAATTTCATCTTCTGAGCACTTTTTTTTTTTTTTGGTGGCACACAGCATGGCTTGTGGGATCTGTGTTCCCCAGCCAGGGATTGAACCCAGGCCACTTCAGTGAAAGTGAGGAACCCTAACCACTGGATCACCAGGGAGTTCCTTGTATTCTTTACTAAAGTTCTGAACTTGTTATTGATCATAACAGTCATTTGCATCTTTGGTAGTAACATCAGTTGCCCTACCCAAATACAAGCTATCCAAAGCCTTAAGAAGGAACATGTAACAGTATATACTAATCACTTTGGGGATCGGATATATTTTTGACATCACTGGACAGAAAAGCTACTCTCACAGTTTGAGGTGCAGTGGGAAAGGAAGAGCTTTTCATTGTGAATAGCTTAAAGGAAAGGAAAGGATTTGTCAGGTCATTATATTCAGGTATAATAATCTGGGGGCATTTGTCTCATCAAGGCCCAATGCCTGGTACTTAAGAGAAGCCCAGTGAATTTTGCTTAATTGGAAGGCATGCTTCAGCAAGAACAGAGTAGCTTTGGCTTACACCAACTAAAATCACTACTGGATAGGAAACAGATGAAATTGAATTGAGACTAATATACCACTCGGAAAAAAAAAGTCAGGAATTGGTTTAGAGTAGCAGTCCCCAAACTTTTTGGCACCAGGGACTGGTTTTGTGGAAGACAGTTTTTCCACAGATGGGGAATGGGGACGGGGGATGATTTCATGATTATTCCAGAGCATTACATTTATTGTGTACTTTATTTCTAATCTAATGCCATCACTGATCTGACAGGAGGTACTGGTCCACAGTCCCAGAGGACAGGGACCCGTGGTTTAGAGCCATGGTTGAAGGGGAGGCTGGCATCTTCTCCTGAAGAGTCTCAATAGGAACTGGAGACACGCATTCCTTCTGGTTCCTGTTGCTGACATATGCATACTCAACACAGACCCCTAAATGCTATCTTTTACTGAGGAGAAGGTGGAGCTGGTGAACACGAGGATTGAGCAATTACACTTTGAGTTGAAAGTTCTACCCCTTAATCCCCAGAAAAGTACAGGAATCAGCATGCCAAAGAATGTGCTACTCTAGAGAATGCTATAAGCCAGAATCTGGCATGATTCATCTGGAAGACTTCTCATGGTGGGAGCAGCAAATCCAAGGTCCACTGTGGGGTGAATTCCAGAGGACTCACATCCTTTCCCCTCTCTCCTGACATGGCCAGTATCTGGCTTCACATGGCAGGGGCTTAGAGGGAGTCACCCTCACCTGGATTGGCCCTGCAAGTCCAGCAACATAAGAGATAACTAAGAGAACTGAACTGAGTGAGTCCACCTTTGGGAGAAGACTGTGGCATCCCACTTCAGTTCTGAAATATCTCAGGAAAGGAGTCAGCCACCACAGAGGTTTAAAAATACCTGTGCCCAAGCTCTATGGCCAGAGCACTTCACAGTCAACGCCCAAAGATTTCAGAAACTGATCTGGCTGTGGGACACCTCGTTCACTTTCTTCACAGGGCAGAACAGAAGGAAAATGCACTGCAAAGCCAGAGAAGTAAGAAGGGGAATGCAGCATGAAAAGGACCCCTAAGGCAGGAAACAGGCTACTTCAGGAACTTCCAAGAAATACAGGTTGTAAGATGAGGAAGTCCTGGCCACCCTTGAATACCTTCTTCAAGAGAGTGAGGCCCGTCTTCCTGGAGTGAGCACTCAGGTCTCAGGACACTCCAAACCCAGCCAGGGATGGTCTGCGCTTACTATGCACTGTGGGAGCTTTTCTGCCCCCACTGGATCCCCCTCTGCTGTTTACTTAGCACGTGGGCTGCGGCCACAGCAGCCAGTGCAGACTCCCTGTTTGTTCCCTAGTGCTTGTACTCAGTAGGTAAGTCACGTCCAACTCTTTGTGACCCTGTAGACTGTAGTCTGCCAAGCTCTGTGTCCAAGGGATTCTCCAGGCAAGAATACTGGAGTGGGTTGCCATTTCCTTCTCCAGGGGATCTTCCCCACCCAGAGACTGAACCTGCATCTCCTGCATCGGTAGGTGGTTTCTTTACCATTTGAGTCACCTGGGGAGCCCGTTTGTTCGGCAGACCTTCTGCAATGAGAATGCAGAACAGAGGCTACTAGGGAGATCTAAGGTTGTGGAAGCAGAAATAGGTTTGAAAATCAGAGATGACCACCCTCTCATCAGTAACCAGGGCTCCTGAGGGCACGGGCCGGGGCTAGGAGCAAGTCATTCGGTTTTGAAGGTGAAGCCAGCACACTGATTTTAGAGTAAGATGAAGGAAAAGGGGAAGGTATGATGAACACTATTCTCTTGGCTAGTGCATGGACCCTCCAGTTCTTCCAGAGTGTGATGGTTGCCCTACTGAGCCAGCCTGCCAGGCCCTCCCATCTTGGGCGTGGCTTACCCGGGCTGGGCAGATGGATTGGATCCTAAAGCAGCGGTTCAGGAACTCGATCTTTCCAACACTGCCTCCGCCCCGCCGCGTCCCGTTCTCCACCACCCGACGAGCTCCACCCCCTAGTGGGGGTGGTACTCTAGCTTCTGGCTCGGAAACACTTCTACTGGATGGCCTTGGGCTGAGAGGCAACGGCATCCTGTTCCCCAGACAACCTACTACCATTTCATCATTTATCTGCCTCTCCATCCTCGATTTAAGTTCTTATAGGGTAAGGGCCATTACCCTAAAAACCACTAAATAGTGGCATTGTATTGCTAACGAGCGAATGAATGAATCAAGCAATTCCCTTGGCTGGAGCTGAGGTGCAGGTGTGATTACCCAGGTCTGGGCTGAAACCCTGGCCACTGGAGAGCGGGAGGTGAGGGCTGGGAAGGGGCTGGGAAGGGCCTGGAAAGGGGCAGTCAATGCATGAACAGTAGCGTACATTCCATAGTGTAGGAGAAAACGGCGTGTCCTGCTAAACAGGTCTGGTCACCTGACACTTTTCCTCTGGTTTTGGTTTATCCCTCTTTATTGCTCTCTCACTGTGAGCTCCACAAGCTCTAACTGCCTCATTGTTGGTCACTCACGTTTTTACTGAAATCATTTGGTTGTGATGTCTGTGTTTCTCCTATACAGGTCTAAAGAGTGGATGCTCACATATGTTTCTTTGTGTAACTGTCTCTTCAGAAAAGAATTCTGGGCTCTACAAATTTAATTACAGTGGTGGGAATTCGATTTTTTGCTGTACCCACACTGAGCACCTACTTTGCATGACTAGGCTCGTGCAGGCCCCCTCTCCACAGCCCCCACCCCCATGGTGCTTCACTTTGGGGAGTTCACCAGCTAAGGTCATACTATTTAAAAATATGTCCTGAATTCTAGTTAACTGTGCTTCTGTGTCTTTCTCACTAAACTATGGGCTCCAGGAGCAGGGTCCTAGAAGCTAGCACCCTGCCCTCAGAGTCTGCTCAATGAATCAGTAAGAAGGAAATTGACAATAATAGAAATTTTGATCCTTCTGGAAGTAGCGGGGAAGTAGGAGTCCTCCTTAGAAAAGTGTCTGCTCCTAAGCAATATCAAATGTTTGCTCTGGACCCATGCCCAGATCCAGGCCATAATTTCAAAAAGGAGATTTCTAAAGAGCAAGAAGCCTGATCTCTTCTGTCTTGTCCATACCCTAGTTTTCTTACAGCCCACCCAGAAAACAATTGGCAGAATGTTAGTAAAAACAAACATGTTATCTAAAATGTGTTTTAGGTGTCCTTCTTTTTGACGATTTTAAAAAGAAAAAAAAGGGGGTGGGGGATGGGGGGGTGGGATCGGGAATTGAACCCCAAAGGCATTCTTGAATTTGATCCCTAAAGGGAATTCAGAAAAAGTGAGTTGAGGCAATGGATCTAATCCAGGCTCTCTCTCCCACCTTTCACCAAACGCAAAATTTTCCCATTAAGAAAATGAGCAGCAAAAGAAGAGTTCCAGATACAATCCAACAGGAAGAACTCCGAGGCCTTCTCTACCCTAACAGAGTACATCCAATTTTCCTTGAAGAGTTGTCAGGTATCAGCCAGAACTGGCAAACATCAGCCATTGTGACAACAGCTATTAAATCCATTGTTGGATTAGGTGGTAGTTATTTAATAAAGGGCTAGGAAGTGCTGAAAATTGTTAAAAATAAATTCATTCTTTTTGCTTTTGATGTGAGTTCCTAAATTGTTGAGTCCCAGAAAAATGAGAAGCTTAAGACTCTAAAAAGATCAGCTTTCCTAGCAGTCTGAATGCTAATCTACACTTTATATCTCTGAAAGGATTCCATTGTTTCCTTCAACTTTAAAAGACTGGACTGGATCAAGGCCATACCAAGTGGGTAGCGCTCTGAAAAAGTGACAGGGTTAGAGCTGTCGTGGAAAGCAAAGAGGCACTCAGTCTCAGCTCCACTCAGCCCAAGGCCTGACCTCACTGGAGACTAGCTGCTGGAGAGGTTGGCCAGGTGCTAGACATGGGAGGAAAGGGGGCCATCTGATGTTGTACGCAGGAAAAGCCGGGCAAGAGCATCACCTAGAAATCAGGGTGCTTTATGCCCAGTAGACCATCAAGGAAATCTGAAGCATCAAAATAAGAATCTCCAAATGGTGGATCAAGGACCACAGTGAAGAAAGTAGCTTCTGGCTGTCAAGGGAGGAATACATCACTTGGAAGAGATGATTAAATAGAAACCGGACAGGAATATGTGGGGGCAGGGCTGATGAAGAAATTTCAGATGAGTTATGAACTCATTCCTGCCCTAATGCCTGGCATCACCTTTTGCAATTTGATGAAACATGCTGGAGGCAAAGATCACTGACAGGGTGTTGCTGTGGGCCTGGCCTCATCTGAAGGGCAGGATATAAGTCCATTGCTGCAGGTTGAAACTCATGGTGAAGGGGAAAAAGAATCTGCAGCAACTGCAGACCTCTCAATGGGAAGTGCTACCTCCCAAATAAAGCTGAGGCAGCCTGCCAGTGGGCATCCAGGCCGAAAACCCTGCAGCTGAAACGCCACGACCCTACCAATCTAACATGTCCTCAACCACAGTTCAGTCAAGAAACCTCTCCTTCAGATGGCCGGCCTGTCTGGGTGTGACTCATTTCCTCTTGGAAAATGCCCTCTAAAATGGCACAGTTCCCCTTTTCCTTCAGGGAGTGTTCTGTCTGTACCATCTGCAGAGAGAGTCTGGAACCATCCAGGCCACACCCACATGGTCTCACAACTGAGTCACAGGCTTCCACTAGGAGAAGCCGGGAGCCCTTTGTGCTAACCACGCCCTGCAGAAACCTCCAGGGAGGGAAGCGGGTGGGCTTAACGTATTCCAGAGTCTGGCCCAGGCCCCGTGGGGCCTGGCACAGGGCTAGCCGCTCTGCTGGCCCCTCCACCCCCGCCCAACAAGGCAGATTCCGGGTTTCAGTTAGGTGGAGACCGCCCGAGGCTGGAGAGCGCGGTATTCAGGTCTGGGGCGAAGCACCAGACCTTTGCCAGGCTCAAATTGTGTCCAGGTACCAACGGCTCATTGTACTGGGCCAGGTTAATCTGGGGTGTTAGATCCTTCATTAAACTTGCTCTTCCTCTATCTCTGTATAGTTCCACTTGTTTAACTAAAATAGCAAGAAGGGAACCCTTTCAGTACAAAACCCACTTCAGTGGTGGCTGAAGGTGGTGGCTTCCCCCCAGCCCCTCAGCAAAACTGTGTTATAAGGAAAACAAATAGATCTTCTTCCCTCTGTTGGCAGAGAGAAACTTCTCGTCTGGCAGACAAGTAACAGGAAGCCCAACCTTGAAGCTTGGACGAGAGGGACAGAGGGGTGTCCTTTGGGGAGAGAACCCGCCAACCCTCTCCGAGTCTGCACGGACCATCCAGCTAGAAGGAGGCTACGAACCTCTGGACACAAGTCAGCCTGCAGCCGGAGCCCACAAAGAAACAAGCCGGCCAGGACAGGGGGCCAGAAACAGGGATTCGGGTAACTGGGGAGACTAGTCGAAAAGCAGGAAGGGGTCTAAAGAAAGATACACCAAAAAGTAGGAGACAGCAGACCCCGGGGCACCGACACCGAAGTACTAGTAAAGGCCAAGTGCTCCCTCCTCCGGGGGCCTGGGGGGTCGCGCCGGGGAGGGACAGGGGAGGTGCTCGCCCAGCTGGGGTGTGGCCCAGAGCTGGGGGAGAGGATACCCCCACACGCCCGGCCGACGACGACCACCACCATCGTCCCACCCCTACACCTGGGACGCCCGGCGAAGACCGCCTGGCCAGCGGGAGCCGCCGATGTGGGGATTTCCCCGGGCGCGGGATGTGGGGCCGGGGACCGCCCGGGACCGGCGGGCAGGACTCACCTTGGCAGGAGGCGCAGCGGGGACGCTCGGCTGGGGACGCGCGGCCAGTGAGCACAGCGCCGCGGGCAGGGCGCCTTAGTACGTGGGGGTGGGGGGCGGGGGGAGGCAGGAGGAGCCTGGGCGGGTGTCGGGGCCTCGGCTCACCCCACCTCTTCCCCTCCCTCCTCTTCCTGCCCGCTCCCTCTCCCCCCGCCACACTCACACCCCGGGCGCAGCGCACACACCCTTTTCTCGCTATGCGGAGTAGCCTCGCTCCGGGCCTCCACCCGCCCCCAGAGAGAACGAGATTGTACTCTTCCTACTCAGATGCTCTCGAATATTTTTGTGCCCTTCCTCTCGGGTTTGCTTTTAGCGAGTAAGTGTGGAAATCAAAGAATCCAGTCGTCCTGCGGGTGGGGCTCGCTGGCCCAGAACCAGATTGTAAGCTCCTCCTCTGTAAACTACAGGTCGAGGAATTAATTTCTAGATGAGATTGTAGGGAGGGGCACCTGGAGTCCTTAAGACCGCAAAGGCGTCAGACTTGGTTTCAGATTAGACACTAAGAGGTAAATTGGGAAGGGGCAGGGGCGNGGGGGGGGGGGGGGGGTCGTCCCGGCCCCCGCCGCCCGGCCTACGGGCTGTTCTCTGAGAAGCCGAGTTCACTACCCGCCGCAGTGAAGGCGGATGGTGGTGCTGTTTGGCGTTTATAGCTCCAGGGCATTACAAACCCTTGGTTGAACTGGAAATTGACCCCTCCTAGCATGCGTGGCAGTTGGTCTAGCGTTCAGTTTCGGCTATAGTTGACATTATTAAAACCTGTTTAAGAATCTCCTTTTTTCCCCTTTTTTGTCCTGAAATTGCCCTGTTTGGTCCTCAAAGCACTTCAAAAGGAATTTGGAGAAAACCTAAGGGTTTCCTAGCTGGTGTTATCCACTCCCCTCAACCCCCGACATTTATTTTAATTGTGGTTCAGGGTTAAATGCAAACTACTAGCAGCTGTTGGTGGAAAAGGGCCCAGTCCCAAGTCTTGGGTTTTCCTTTGTTCCCAGGGGAGGTCCTGGGAGGAGTGAGTGATCCCTGAGGAATGAGCAGTCTTGGGGAATCCTCCAAATGCCTCCATGTGACTAATCTGAGCTCTTGCCAGGAAAACTCGGATTTCAGTTCTCACTCCACTGAGTTCCTCAACCCTGGTGCTGAACGTGGGGCAGTTCTGCAGTCTTCCCATAGGCTTCCTAAACTCTTCCTAGGCTGTTGGATTTAGAATGAGAACACCCGAGTTCCTATACTATGCACTCCTTGATTCCTTCATTTGATTTGCAGTGTTTAGGAATGCTTAGTGTATGTACTAGGGCCTGGGGATTCGGAAATCAAAGAATCAGTCTGTCCCTCAACTTCAAGCCTCGTTGGAAGATAGATTAGCAAACAAAATCCACTGAGCTCAGTGAATGGTAGAGGATGCTATCAGACACTATGAGCATTAAGGAGGCACCTCCAAGTCTCCATGGAATGATCACAGAACAATGTTTTAAAGATAATATTTAAATATTTAAATTTAAATTAAATTTAAATATTCAAATATTTAAAGATAATATTTTAAAGATAATATTTACCATGACTTTTAAATTTGATTGTAAAAAAGGTGCATTCTTCTTGTAGAAGGTTTGGAAAATATACCAATGTATAAGGAGAAAAATAAAATCACTTGTAAATGCATGGACTGAAGATTAACATTTTTATGTATTTCCTTTTTTTTTTTTCATATTTATGTGGTTGCATTGAGTCTTTGTTGGGCCCAGTAGTAGCCCCATGACATGTGGGATCTTTCTGGACCAGGGTTCAAACCCACGTCCCCTTCATTGGCAGGCAGATTCTCAACCACTGGACCACCTGGGAAGTCTTGGGGAGTAGTTTTTTAGTGAAGGGTTGCTGCCGCTAAGTCACTTCAGTTGTGTCCGACTCTGCGACCCCATAGACAGCAGCCCACCAGACTCTTCCATCCCTGGGATTCTCCAGGCAAGAACACTGGAGTGGGTTGCCATTTCCTTCTCCAATGCATGAAAGTGAAAGTGAAGCCGCACAGTCGTGTCCGACTCTTAGTGACCCCATGGACTGCAGCCTACCAGGCTCCTCCGTCCATGGGATTTTCCAGGCAAGAGTACTGGAGTGGGGAGCCATTACCTTCTCCAAGTGAAGGGCTAGGAAGTGCTAAAATTTGTTTAAAAAATAAGTAAATTCATTCTTTTTGCATTTGATATTGAATTCCTAAATTGTGACCACATTTATTATAAAATTATGTATTCTATTTTTGCTCCATAACTTATCTTTACTATTTATATGTCATCAAGAGCATGATTGTTCATTTACTCATTCCTTTTTTTTTTTCCACTCAATGAGTTGACTATATCTGAGAGTTCTTCATCCTCAGAGTCAACCAACCATGGATCAAAAACATCCAGAGAAGTAATTTCAGAAATGTCCAAAAAGCAAACTTGAATTTGTAACAATTTGCATAGCATTTACATAGTCTTTACAATTATTTGCATTCTGTTAGGTATTAAAATGAACTTATAAAACAGAAAGATACAGACTTACAAAACGAACTTATGGTTGGGGGCAAGGAAGGTATAGTTAGGGAGTTTGGGATGGTCATGTACACACTGCTGTATTTAAAATAGATAACCAACAAGGACCTACTGTATAGCACAGGGAACTCTGCACCACATTATGTGGCAGCCTGAATAGGAGGGGAGTTTTGGGGTAGAATGTATATGATGACTGAGTCCCTTCCCTGTTCATCTGAAATTATCACAACATTGTTAATCGCCTATATCCCAATACAAAATAAAAAGTTCAAAAAAATAAAAAAAGAAAATCTAGAGGTGATTTAAAGTACACCAAAGGTGGTGTGTAGGTTATATGTGATACTATATCATATTATATAAGGGACTTGAGCATCCGTGGATTTTGGTATGTGGGGAAGTTTCTGGAACCAGTACCCACAAGGACACCAGGAAACCACTGTATTCAGTTACACGGTAGCTCCGTTACTCTCTTCTCTGGCCTGCCAGCCAGACTCTCAGGGCTCCCAGGACTTAGTGGCTACAGCTTTACAAGACGGATGGAACGTGGGTTTCCAAAGCACTGTGCTAAGTGCTGAAAGTATAGTGGTAAAATGGTTGCAGGATGGACTTCCCTGGTGGTCTAGTGGTAAAAAGTCCACCTGCCAATGCAGGGGACATGGATTAGGTCCCTGGTCTAGGAAGACTCCACATGCCATGGAGAGGAGCAGATTAGAGACAACATGGTTCCTAGAACAAAGAGGAGGTGGTATTCATGTTCTCCATCAGGCCCATCGCACATTCCAGCATAGAAAATACTGGGAGCAGGGGATGTTGTTCTACTAATGAGGCAATATTGGGTATTTTTCCCAGTTCTACATGTCACATAGCAACAAAACCCACTTCCCAGTGGTTCTCAACTCTTGCCTCTGTGGTTGCAGCAAAGAGGGCATGGTGTCCACCAGAAACGTGTTCTTCCCGTCACAGTGTAGAGGTGTTACTGAGAAGAGGCTGCTGAGCCAGAGATTATATTCCTAGCACCTCTTGCACTTCATGTGACTCAGTGACTAGTCATCAGCAGAATGGGGCTGGAAGTGATGGGTGTCACCTGCAGGCCAAAGGGGTTAAGAGATGACTTCCCATGTTCTTTTTCTTCATCTTCTGAATTCTGAAATTCTAGGGGTAGAGGAGCCACAGCTGGGAGGAGCCTGAGTCCCTGAATCACTGAGTGGAGGAAAACCACCAGCTAACCAGGAACATTTTCATCTGACTAGTTTTGTGGGTGAGCAAGAGCCTCATAATTTGGGTATGTATTTGTTACAATAGGACAGGGTGGCATTTTTTTGAAACTGGTATTTTGGCAGCCTACTCAAAAGATTAAGTGGCATGTATAGTAATCACACTATTATACTGGTCACTTTTCAGCATCATGGTGGCACTGTTTAAGTAGACCCTTTTGGTATCCTGATCATGCTCAGATACTCACAAGACAAAGTTCTGGCAAGTCTGGCAAATGCATAGTTTCTTTGTTTCTTCATATGCATCAAGTTGCGCCAGGCACCACACAGAAACTATGGGCAGCAAAGGTCAACATTCTGTCTGCTCAAACATGGTATTAATGGTTTGAATGATAGTTGTAACAAAAGGAAACTTTATTCATCAATTATGGAGCCCTAGGAAGGAGTCACATCAGTCCTCTATAGCAGTTCAGTTGAGAACTATCAGTTTACAGTTGCCTGGTCAAGACTTTTTGCTAGCAAGCCCCAAAACAAACAAAACAACAGGTGGTCCAGTGGATAAGACTCTGCACTTCCAGTGCAGGGGTCACATGTTTGATCCCTGGTCAGGGAACTAAGATCCCACATGCTGAGCAACTGGGAAAAAAAATAAAATAAAGCAACAGACCTCCGTCTTCCCCCCACCTCCGCTGTGTGGCTTTACCAAAGTGAAAGTGAAAGTCATTCAGTCGTGTCCATGGAATTCTCCAGGCCAGAATACTGGAGTGGGTAGCCTTTCTCTTCTCCAGGGGGTCTTCCCAACCCAGGAACTGAATCCAGGTCTCTCGCATTGCAAGCAGATTCTTTATCAGCTGAGCCACAAGGGAAGCCCAAGAATACAGGAGTGGGTAGCCTATCCCTTCCTCAGCAGATCTTCCCANTCTGTCCGTGGGCTTCTCCAGGCAAGAATATTGGAGTGGGTTGCCATTTCCTTCTCCAGGGGATCTTCCTGACCCAAGAATCGCAACCGGGGTTTCCTGCATTGCAGGCAGATTCTTTACCAGCTGAGCGATGAGGGAAGCCCATGGCTTTACTAGTATACCCTAAATAGGGGAATATAATTTATTAAACATTTCTCATATTTTTTGACATTTAGGTTGTTAGCAGTATTGTCCTGTCATAAGTAATAATTAAATATAAAAGGTCTGCTTTTGAATAAATAGCTTTGCCCACATGTCAATTTTCTTAGGAAAGATTCCTATCAGACTCTGTCCTTTTTCTTTGTTTACATAGATCTTAAAGTACAAGTAGGGTCTAGCC